TGATGGCCGAGAGGTTAAGGCGTTGGACTCGAAATCCAATGGGGTTTCCCCGCGCAGGTTCGAACCCTGCTCACAGCGTCTGTAGACCTTTTAAACTCTTAGCCTTTGTTCAAATGCAGTCCAACAAGGGTCTGGACAATTGTGAATTGCAAATTGACTTGAGGATAGATAGTTTAAGCAACCAGAGTTTTTCTTGTTTCCCACAAGGACCTTATACGGTTACTCGATGATTCCAAATAGATCACTAAAATCAGCTGTGATGGCCGAGAGGTTAAGGCGTTGGACTCGAAATCCAATGGGGTCTCCCCACGCAGGTTACTGTTGGGTTCTTCAACTGTTGTCTCACCCTTGGTTTGATGGCTCCTAGAATTGCGGTCCATTTCAAGATTGGCTATGCTACGTGGTAGCTCCAGTACTGTTTATTCTTTGGTTCAAAGTGACAGGCCAGATGTGAAATTAACCCCAAAGTTGATCTTGTTTCAACAACCACACGAAGCCCCTTAAACATTACTGGAAACTGTAGGTACTTAAAGCTACCAAAGCTGTTCTTGTTTCCCACATGAGCTTATACTGTTATACGAGGATTCCATCGTCGACTAAGGTAAACGGCTGTGATGACCGAGAGGTTAAGGCGTTGGACTCGAAATGCAATAGGGTCTCCCCGCGCAGGTTCGAACCCTGCTCACAGCGTTTGAAGTCTCTTAAGCTTCTGGAGCTGGCTGATTGCTGCCAAGTGAGGCATTAAACTTAGTTAAAGCTCCCAAACTTGTTGTTGTTTCCCACAAGGGGCTCATACGGTTATGCGAGAATTACATGGAGAACAGAGGTAAACAGCTGTGATGGCCGAGTGGTTAAGGCGTTGGACTCGAATTCCAATGGGGTCTCCCCGTGCAGGTTCGGACCCTGCTCACAGCGTTTGAAGAATCTTTAAACTTCTGGAGCTGTCTGATTGCTGCATGTGTTCAACTGTCCTCTTAGCCTTTGTTCAAATGCAGTCCAACAAGGGTCTTTTGTTGGAACTTGAGCAATGCAAAAAAACGTTCATGGTTCAAAGTGTTGGACAATTGTGAATTGCAAAATGACTTGAGGTTAGGTAGTTTAAGCAACCATAGTTTTTCTTGTTTCTCATAAGAACCTTATACGGTTACTCAATGATTCCACATAGATCATTAAAAACAGCTGTGATGGCCGAGTGGTTAAGGCGTTGGACTCGAAATCCAATGGGGTCTCCCCGCGCAGGTTCGAACCCTGCTCACAGCGTTTGAAGTCTGTTTAAGCTTCTGGATCCTGCTGATGGCTTCCAAGTGAAGTATTAAAACTTCTCAAACTTGTTCTTGTTTCCCGCAAGGAGCTCATACGGTTACGCGAGAATTCCTGGAAGAACAAAGTAAAACTGAATTGAGGGCCGAGTGGTTAAGGCGTTGGACTTGAAATCCAATGGAGTCTCGCCGCGCAGGTTCAAATCCTGCTCACAGCGTTTTCAGAGTCTTTAAACTTCTTGAATTGACTATTTGCTGAGGTAGAATTCTGTAATCTAGGTGCATTGTGAGAATGGCTTGATTACATCCTCGGTTTAAAGTCTCCAAGACATGTTGTCGTTTCCAATGTGCTTGCTTGTTCCGACTGGACATGCAGATTTAAAACACATGTTGCATTCATATCTGAGTCGTTTAATGTTATCATAAATACAAATATTTATAAGATCATAAATGGTTAACTTCCTATTTGTCTTGCTCTGCTTGTCCACCACTAAATAAATATAAACACTGGAGATAATTATGCATGACACATATTATGGCATATTTGCAGCTCACAGACCTGTTGACGGCGGAGTCAGTTCGGATGGTTGCTATGGGCGACCTCATGTTCTTCAGGTCCCACACTTTAACAGTGCGATCATCACTTCCTGATACAACGTTATCGCCCACCGTGAAGACAGCAGACGTCACCGTGCTGCAAGAAGACGAGAAAACAGGTTTAGAATGAAGGTAAAAGAAAGAAAGCATTGACTGTGACAACTTCATTTATTACGAGGTTTTATTCCAAACATATTTGTTTAAGTTACTTACATTTGGATGGCAGTATTTCTTATTTAACAGTTATTAAGCTGAATATTGAGTAGACTGATTATTACAGTAGAAGATACTTCAAGTTTCTCATTTGTAGCCGTTACAATTTATCGCCCCCCTGTGGCACAAATAACTACTACATATTATTTTAAATGGTAGTTTATTTAGTAGTAGTCCTTTTAATGTCCATAGCCGCTTAGTTCCCAGTACTTAGTTCATCACAACTCTTTAGCAGATCGCGTTCACACCGGAATAAGTCCCTGAGGGAGGGTTAGGCAAATGAAGCCGCTGACGTCACTTCTTCTTCTTCTGCGTATACTGCCACCCGAAGTCCCCGGCCAAAAGTCTGGAACGCCGACACCTCCTCATCTCCACCGCTCCCACGTTTTCTTTTGTGTTGCCATAAGTTAGTCTCTCTCCGTTGGTGCGCTGGGCTAATGCTAATAATGCTAATGCCAGCAAATACAATGGCGGCTTCACAAAACGTTTCCGAGTTTTACAGGGCGTGGTTTGCAAACTGCCCAGCCAATCAGAAATGGGAACCTTTTTCTCCCATGAAAGTACCTGACTAAAAAGGGGGTGAAAAGGTTCGTTTTCTCATACTGATATTCTGCACAAACTGTGCTGTTGTATTTACTGTATAGTGTCCTTACTGTAAGGCAATTATTATATGTACAGCACTTTTTTTTCGTTTTTAAAAATGTGCTATATAAATAAAACTTGATTTGATGTGATTTGATTTAATGAACTAAGTTCTAGTTCCAGATTATTTTGGTGTGAACGCAACATTTCAAGAACTATCAGAACTATACTGGGAAAAGTACTCCTGTCTGTTCAAAATGTCCTCATTTTATCCTTTAAAATCTTTGTAAGAAAGTCATACTTAGCTCATGACTTCTTGAGTTATGACCAAAACTTGTATTTATTATGTCAGAGTACATCTGAGTTCTTCATTGAGTCATAGTGGACATTTGAAGAAATTCCTTGAAGCATTTCTTGGGATTTCATATTCACAATAAGGTGACTGACAGTGACCTTAAACTCTGACATGTATCCACCAAATTCAGACCAGTCCATCCGTAGTTCCAAGACGACATTTGTGCAACATTTGAAGAAATTCCCTACATTAGTTTATAAAAAATACTTTTGAAGATAATAGGAAGGACAACATAAAAACATTATGCCTCAAGACAAACAAAAAAAAACCCATAATGTAATAAATCCATAAATCCATATCAGTCGTGAAATACTATAAGATAATTATACACATATACTGTATATCAATACTTCTCTGCCTGTATTGGGTTTCTTAACTGTAATGTAAAAAACATTATTACTGCACATGAAAAGTGTGTGTGTGTGTGTGTGTGTGTGTGTGTGTGTGTGTGTGTGTGTGTGTGTGTGTGTGTGTGTGTCAGACTGACCTCTGCTGTCAGACTTG